TTATGATTCAGGGTTTAGGATTTAAGGTTTAGGGTTTAGGTTTGAGGGTTTAGGATTTAGGGTTTAGGATTTAGGGTTTAGGGTTTAGGATTTAGGGTTTAGGGTTTATAGGATTTATGGTATAGAGTTTAGGATTTATGATTTAGGGTTTAGGATTTAAGGTTTAGGGTTTACGGTTTAGGGCTTGGAGTATCATCGGGATTACTAAGGGCTAGGAGTTTAGACTATGGCTAATGTTCTCTAGGGTTCAGCGGCTACACGACCCCCAAGTGATAATCAAGTCTAAAAGAAGAAGAAACCATGAACTGGAAAGCTGGATTTAGGGGTTTGGCAGGCTTTACCCTAAGTGGGCTGAAGGCTCCTTATTCTCCTTGTGACTTAGCTGGGACCTTAGACCCTTAACCCTTTGGGATTCCCTTATACTCCCATTGTAGGTATCCAAGGGGTTACCCTTTGTAGGGGTCCTAAGTGCCATGTTGTATTGCAGATTCTACTATGTTGAGGCTAAATTCCTATACCCCACCTTCCCTTACCTCACCTTTTGAACCACCTTGTTTCCTTTATTAACCGGGTTGGCTGCTTGAAACGTCAGGGTCTTTCGGTTGATTAAAAGGCTTCAGAGCACCCCAAGATGATGTTCATTGGGGCCACATGAAACACTGACAGTCTACCTTAAGCCCTGCTGGAACAAGAAAACTGAAGCAACATTGTTTTTGATTCAGGCTTCGTTCGGGTTAACTGGGATATTGTTTGCCTTGCAGAGCTCAAAAGTAAACTTCCTAAGTCCTTCTGGCCCTGGCAAAAAGCCTTAAACTTCTGAGGCAGTTTGGTCCAGGGAAACTTCAAATTGCAACTTGAAAATGTCCCTTAGCCGCTTGTAGATAGGTACTCCTGTAGACAGCACTAGTGCTTCGCAATTTTCCTCTAGTGGCTTTTATGTAAGTACTCCTATAGTTAGCACTACTGCTTCACAATAAACTTACTTTTCAGGGTCCAGGGTTAAGGGTTTAATTAAGTTTGTAGGTTTGACTGGGCTGAAGGGTTAAGGTTGTAGGGTTCATGGGAACAAGAACGCTTCGAGGCGAGTATGCTCATTTAGTGCTTGTACTCATATGCGGGCAATGAGCTTATCTGATTGCTATGTCCGCCTCCTACGGGGTACCTGCGTGACTCTCACGTGGAAATGGTCAATTTTGTCTCTGTCTAGCATGAGGCCCCGTAGAGCGCATATAGGCAAGGACTGTTGACCTTCACAGCGCTCCTTTCCCTCAGGGTCCAAGTACCTAATAATCATATACTTACCCAAAACCTGTACTGTAATTACTGTTACCCAGAACCCAAGTTCCTAATTATTGGGTACATGGACCCTAAACCCTATATACCCCTATATATCCCTATATATCCCTATGTCCCTATATATCCCCGTTAAAGGGACCTAATTATTGGGTACATGGGCCCTCTAGGGTTTAAGGCTGCTTGATGATGTGGGGAAGGCCCCTCCTGCGCCAGGAAGTTCTAAGCTGGGAGATCGCTTGATGCGCTAGTCCGCACTGCAAAACCGTTGAGTAATTTAGGGGTTTAGGGTTTAGGGTTAGGGGCTTGAACAATTCGAACAGTGCCTGTGGGTACAGTATACTTGCATCATACAAGGCCTTTGCAAATGTCCAGGCTTCCTTCAACACTAGGCCACAAAGCCAAGAGAGGAGTTCTATTGACGATGATCTCTAGCCTTACTTGTGTTTTGCTCTGGATTCTTAGCCCTAGTTCTACTGCAAGGGGTACTTCGAAAGAGCTGAGGGCTCAAGAAATACTAGCCGAAACCCCAAAACCCTAAACCCCAAGACCCCAACCCCCCAAACCCCCACATGCTAAAAGGAGATGGCCGAAGAAGAGGAAGAGCCTGTGGTCATGAAGAAGCCCGCTGCCAGAGCGAAGGCGCGCAATGGAACTTTCTCATTAGGACCTTTAGGGTTTAGGCTAGGGTTTTTTCCGATATTTTGCTTGGGATTTAGGAGTTGGGGTTTGGGGTGCAGGATTTCGAGTTCAGGGTGTCGCTGCTAAGACTTTTCGCAGTTGTTGGCAACAGAGGTCCTACGCGTGGTGGGGTTCATTGTTTCAGGGAACTCTGAGGTTTTTAGGGCTTAAGATAGGAATTAGGGAACCCTTCAGGGGTAAGGGTTTAGGGTTCAAGTCTGTGATCCCATGAATTTGATGTAGCTGGGCCGGAAGCTATCCAAATGGGACCCCATGCTCTGAGCCTTCAGCCTCTGAAATAGGGTGATACGCTTTAAGCCCTAGACTGTACATCCTGAATCCTTCTTTTGGACTTGTCATCCTTTCTGAGGCCGCGCCAAAGTCTGCGAAGGCTACACCCAAGGCATCCCCGAAGAAGGCCGCCACCAAGAAGGCCTGGAAGCGGTTTAGGGCTTAGGGTTTAGGGTTCAGGGTTTAGGGTTTGAGGTTTAGGGTTTAGGAGCTTGTTCCGGGCCCTGAGGGGATTAGGGTTTAGGGTTTAGGGGATCCCTGGATAACCTTAGGGGATCCCTGGATAACCTTAAGTAGGGGGGCCCTAGGGGGGAAGTATAGAGGGGGGGTGGTAGTAAGGAAGCTTTGGGCCCTTAGAGGGATCATCTGGAGGATTTGGGGGTCTGTTTTTTTTTGGGGGGGTTAGGGTTTAGGGGGTAGGGCCCTCAAAGGTATCATCTAGGGGACTTACGTTTTTTTGGGGTTAGGGTTTAGCGTTTAGGTTTTTGGATTCAGGGTTTTAGGTTTAAAGTTTTTGGGTTCAGAGTTTAGGGATTAAGGTTTAGGGTTTTTGCGTTCAGGCTTTTGCGTTGAGGGTTCAGGGATCGCAAGGCTTAATCCGGGGCCTTGCAGTTGAAAAGTCAACTTCCCCCTTACCCTAAACCCCCAGGATGTAAGCTGATAGTTTCTCAAAAATAGTAGGGGACCCCGGGTTGCGGGCCCCCAAAATGGTACCCCCCCCCCCCCAATTCTTGGATGGGTTTAGGGTTTAAGGTTTAGGGTTTAGGGAAATTTGGGAAACCCTCGCTAAGCCCAAACTTGGCTTAGGTTTAGGTTCTGAAATGATTATGAAAGGGTGTTGAACTCCAACCCTGAGGTTCCAGGCCTATTGATAATTAATACCCTCTTTGGCCTTAGAGCCAAGCCTAAACCGTGCCTGGACCCCAAAAGTATGTGAAGGAATAGCTTTTTGGGCTGTTTTAATGGGTTTAGGGCTATTAGTCTACATACTTTGGGGGTCTAGGTAGAACCTAAAAAAGCCCTAACTTACCTCGGCTATCTATCGCCCTTTAGAGTAACCAAAGCCCTCTCATTAAGTTCATGACTGCTAAGCCCTATTACAACCCAAAACCTGAAGCCGAAACCTTCGAACCCAAACCCCCCAAAACCTAACCTAAACCCTATACACACCCAAAATCCCAAGCCTAAAGCCCTTAGCCTTCCTTAACCCCAAAGCCCAAAACATTTACCCTTAAACCCTCTAGTCCAAACTCCCAAAGGGCCGTTATATAGGGGAGTACATATGGGACTATTATAGGGGTTGTTAAAGGCGAGACCAGGACTTGACACCCTAACCCTAAACCCTAAATCCTGATTTTGGGGTCCATTAAAGGGGAGACTAGGAGTTTAGACCCTAAAGCCTAAATCCTATATAGGGGTTATGAAAGGGAATACTACCTAAACCCCGAAAAAGTATGTAGAATAACAGCCCTAAACCCATAATTGTAAACGCTAGCGCGCGCCCGCCTCGGCTGGCCGGGCTTCCCACTGTAGGAACATGTAATTATAGATATGCAGGTATTTAAGTTAGGTATATGGATACAGTCATATGCCTAATACATACACA